GTCTCGGGGGGGGTCTATGAGGGTTTCAGGGTGTTGAAGGGGGGTCCCGGGGGGGTCTGTCGGGTGGTCCCCGGGGTGGGGGGTCCGTGGGGAGGGGTCCCCGGCCGGCTCTCACCTCTCACACTCCCCGCCGCATCCCCGCCGCTGCCGCCGCCGGTCACTGGGACACACCGGCCCGGCCCCGCCCCCTGCGGTACCGGCCACGCCCCTCCCGGTACTGGCCCCGCCCCTCTCGGTACCGGTCACGCCCCTCCCGGTACTGACTCCCCCCCTCTCGGTACCGGTCACGCCCCTCCCGGTACTGACTCCCCCCCTCTCGGTACCGGCCACGCCCCTCCCGGTACTGGCCCCGCCCCTCTCGGTACCGGTCACGCCCCTCACGGTACTGACCACGCCCCTCCCGGTACCGGCCGGGGGGGGGGTCATGCCGGGCCGACCCCCCCTGTCCCGGGGGTGATTTGGGTTCAGAGCCTGTCACCAGATCGCGACAGAGACCGGCAGCCCCCCCGGACCCCCAGGCACCTCACGTTTACCCCCAAAAGCTCTCGGCACCCCCAAATTCCCCCCTGAGCCCCCTCCCGGTTACTCTTTGGAGCCCCCCCAGACACCCGAACCCTCTCTGGAGACTCTGGGGGAGCTATGGGGGCCCAGCTGGGGCTGTGGGGCAGGAGGGGACACTGGGGGACAGCTGTAGGGGGTTATGGTGGCCACAGGGACGGGGACACTTCAGGGGATGGGGACAGCTGGGGGAACAGGTGGGTGCCTCAGGCCAGGCGGCAGCTGGGGACAGGGACAGGTGAGGGGACTGAGCCAGGGACAGTTGGTGGCACAGGTACAGGCAGTGGGACAGGGCCAGGTGGCGGCTTGGGGACAGCCTGGGGACAGGGCCAGGCCACGCGCCGCTGCCCCCGCGGCCATGCGCTAATGAAGGCTGTTAATCACCTGTCCAGCAGCTGCTTCCAGTCCAGGGCCACGCTCGGGTGACCGCGACAGCAGCCGGGAGGGAAAAGGGACACGGTGGGGACAGCGGCCCTGCCACGGTGGAGATCCCCGCGGCGGGATGAGGGGAGGTGGGTGAGGGGGACCCCCCGTCATGTCGGGACCCTCAGCCTGAGGGGAGGGGAGTGAGGGAAGCCCCTCATGACCAGACCGCAGAGCCAGGGGCCCACCCACCCCTGGAGAGCCTCCTATACAGGTCCAGGAGGGTCCTGAGGGAGATTGGGGGCTCCGAGGGAGGTTTAGGGGGGTCCCGAGGGAGGTTTGGGGGGGTCCCGAGGGAGGTTTAGGGGGTCCCGAGGGAGCTTTTGGGGGTCCCGAGGGATCTCTCCCTCCTCCGCCCCCCCCCGCTCCCCTCAGCGCTTTCCCGCCCTTTTCCTTTCCGCACGGCCGCTAGGGGGCGGCCCCCTGACGGCTCACGCGCTCCGCCCCCCCATCCCTGCGCGCCGCCGTCTGATTGGCCGCGTCCTCAGCGAGGCTCCGCCCCCTCCCTCGCGCGGCTTTGCGGTGGGAGGCGTGGTCTGTGGGGAGGGGGCGTGGCCATTGGCGCCCTATAGAGACCTATAGAGACCTATAGAGACCCTATAGCGCCCTAAAGCAGAGCCCAGCACCTCACAGCACCCTCGTAACACCCTCTACGGCACTCTACAGTGCTCTGCTGAGCTGCAGAGACCTATAACACCTCGCAGTGACGTATAGCGCCCTATAGAGACCCTCACTGCCCCTACAGAGACCTGTAACAACCTCCAGGGTGCCCTATAGACAGCCCTAGAGACCCCCACGTGATCCTGCAGTACCCTATAGACCCCCATAGACCCCTATAGAGACCCTATAGACCCCTATAAAGACCCTATAGACCCCTATAGACACCTATAGAGACCCTATAGACCCCCATAGACCCCCTACAGAGACCCTATAGACCTCTTATAGATCCCCTATAGAGACCCTGTGGACCCCCTAAAGACCCCTAAGGACCCCCTATAGAGACTCTATAGACCCCTATAGACCCCTATGGACCCCTATAGAGACCCTATGGACCCCCTAAAGACCTCTATGGACCCCCTATAGAGACCCTATAGACCCCCATAGACCCCCTACAGAGACCCTATAGACCTCTTATAGATCCCCTATAGAGACCCTGTGGACCCCCTAAAGACCCCTATGGACCACCTATAGAGACCCTATAGACCCCTATAGACCCCCTATACACCACTATAGAGACCCCAGGGCCCCACAGGGGCTCCCCCCCTCCCTGTCACCCACAATGCCCTGCGGGGATCCCTGACCCCCCCCACGATGACGTCATTAGCTGCACTGATGATGTCATGGGTCATGTTTACACCCGCGGTGATGTCATTGGCCACGCCCAGCCCGCTGATGATGTCACTGGCCATGGCGATGGTGTAATTCACCATGCCTGCCTTGCTGATGATATTGGCCACGCCCACCCCGCTGATGACGTCACTGGCCATGTCAGTTCTGCCATTGGCCACCTCGGGCTGGCCAATGACGTCACTGACATTGCTGGCCACACCCATCTCGCTGATGATGTCATGAGTCATGCTGATGCTGTCAATGATGTCACTGGCCATGCTGATGATGTCATTGGCCACACCCCTCTCGTTGATGACGTCACTGATGCAGTCAGCGCTGCCATTGGCCGTATCTGCATCACTGATGACGTCATTGCCACGTCACCACCAGCAGAGCTGTCACTGGCCACGCTGATGACGTCACCAGCCACGTTGTACAATGACGTCACCATCTGGCCAGCAATGACGTCATTGGAGGGTCATCGGTTGGGGTGGGACGGGCCCTGTCTAGTGGGCGTGCCCCAGGTGGGCGTGTTCAGCTGTCATGTTCAGGTGGGCGTGTCCAGGTAGGCGTGTCCAGTGGGCACAGCCCATTTCCATGTCCAGGGGGTGTGTCAGTGGGCGTGTCCAGTAGGCATGTAATAGGTGGGTGTGTCCTAGATGGGCGTGTCACTGCTGGGCGTGCCAGTGGGTGTGTCCCAGGTGGGTGTGACCAGTGGGCGTGTCAGTGGACATTTTAAGTGGGCGTGTCCCAGGTGGGTGTGTCCAGTGGGCGTGTCCCAGGTGGGCGTGTCCAGTAGGCAAATCCAGCGCTCACGTCCAGCAGGTGTGTCCCAGGTGGGCGTGTCAGTGGGTGTGTCCAATTCGTGTGTCCAATGGGAGTGTCCCGGTGGGGGTGTCGCAGGGGCGTGTCCGGGTGGGCGTGTCCAGCTGGCATAGTCATTTTCCATATCCAGTGGGTGTGTCAGTGGGCGTGTCCAGTGGGTGTGTCCCGTGGGCATAGTAATTTTCCATATCCAGTGGGCGTGTCAGTGGGTGTGTCCAGTGGGTGTGTCCCAGTGGGCGTGTCCAGTGGGCATAGTCATTTTCCATATCTGTGTCCCAGGTGGGCGTGTCAGTGGGTGTGTCCAATTCGTGTGTCCAATGGGAGTGTCCCGGTGGGGGTGTCGCAGGGGCGTGTCCGGGTGGGCGTGTCCAGCTGGCATAGTCATTTTCCATATCCAGTGGGCGTGTCAGTGGGTGTGTCCAATTGGTGTGTCCCAGGTGGGGTGTCCCGGATGGGCGTGTCCCGGATGGGTGTGTCCAGGGGGCGTGTCCGGGGGCGTGGTCAGTCCCGTGCCCGCAGGCGCAGGTAGCCCCCCCCGCTGGCCAGCGCCAGGGCCCCTCCCAGCCCGGCCAGGGCGGGGCAGTGCCCGGGACCGCCCCCCCCGGCCCCGCCCCCGCCGGACACAAAGAGCCCCGCCCCCAGCAGCGCCGCCAGCCCTGCGGGGACACCGGGACAAGGGACAGGGGGGACATGGGAGACATGGGGGGACAGGGACATGGGGGACATGGGGGGACATGGAGGGGACATGGAGACACCAACTGGCTCCCCTCAACCCACACCTGGTGAGGGACATGGTGGGGACATGGAGGGACATGGGGGGGACATGGAGGGGACATGGCGGGGACATGGAGACCCCGACTGGCTCCCCTCAACCCACATCTGGTGAGGGACATGGGGAGGACATGGGGAGGACACGGTGACACTGACCGGCTGCCCTCAGTGCACACCTGGTGAGGAACACAAGGGGGACATGGAGATATGGAGGGGACACACAGGGGGACATGGGGACACCGACGTGCTGCTCTTGGCCCACACCTGGTGAAGGACACAAGGGGGACATGGGGACATGAGGACATGGCGGGGACACGGGGAGGACATGGGGGACACACAGAGCACTGTCCTCAGCCCACACCTGGTGAGGGACACGGGGACACAGGGGGGACATGGGGACATGGGGGG